TCGGCGGGAGCGCCGCTGCGCTTCCCAAGCGGCGCACTTATCCAGTGCGCCACTGGGCCGGGCCGAGTTTACAGACATTTTCCTTAATTTTTTACAATAATCTTACACAAAAGGTATTATTTTTCCCATTACAAAAATGAGGAAGCCAGGATGAGAAAGGTTTTTCAGTGGTCTTCAACACTGGCTTTATATGAGGGTCTTCAAAAAGTTCATGGAAATATTTGTATTATCTTTTAATTCTATTTTACGAACTTTTTGAAGTACTCCTGTATTAGAATTGCTCAGGCCCCACTCAGAGATGCTAGTTTATTTGGTGTACCATTGAGTCCAAGCACTGTTAATTTTTTTTTTTTACTGCTTTTTATGGGATATGATGTGATGTTTATGTGGGGTTGAAAGCCACTGGGTTAAAGCAAATTGCCCAAGACCATAGAGAGGAAATTTGAGCATTTCAATGGCAGAGAATATGTCTAATTCATTTGGGTGCACCAGGAGGGAATGAATGAATGAGCTAATCAGATTTCTAATTCGCAGTGGCCTGTATTTAAAGCTCATGATATTTTTTCTTTTTTTGTTTTTTGTTTTTTTCCTTTTTGTCTTTTTTCGTGACCGGCAACGGATCGCAAGCCTCAGTGTCGCGCCCGTACCGTACCGGGACCGGCAACGGGATCGCAACCCTTGGTGTTGCCCCCGTACCTCGCTCAGCCAGTGAGCGGCTGGTCTGTATGTGGGATCCGAACCCTCGGCGGGAGCGCCACCGCGCTTCCCAAGTGGCACACTGTAGCAGTGCGCCACCGGGCCGGCCCTTAAAGCTCATGATATTTTTTCAAAGCCACCAACCATACTGCTGCCCTCGAATTTGTATATCTTAAACATCACGCCCAATCCAGGTTCTTAACTTCCAAGTAGAAGTTGAGAGCCAAATTTCAAAACCTCATTTCCACAAAGAAGAAATTTTCTCTTTTTGAGTTAAATCTAGGTAATAAAAATTAGAAATATAGACTGATAATTTTCATACAAAGAGTACATTTCATGTAATAACTAAATGATAAAGTGCATTTCAGGCAGTTTTTAGAGCAGTGAACTTTCTTTGCATAACTGAGAGGTGTTCTCCCAACAACTGGAGAAATGGTTGCTTATGCACATCCTTAAATATCTATTGAGCACCTACTATGTGCTAGGCATGATATTAATTATGGATACAGCTCTGAAAAAACAGATGCCATCTCTGCCTTTCTGGAACTTTTATTTCAGAGTCTAATGCATTCAGACCTGGAAACTAAGCTTAGGAGATTTCTCATGAGAGGAAAAATTCAGATGACTATCAGGACAGGTTAATCTTGCAGATACTCACCAAGTAGATTGACCTTTGAAGGAGTTTTGAAACACTCGTTTCATTTATTCATTTAACAAACTCATCTTGCCCAACTCATTACTTTGTGGGATGGCGTAGAGGGCACAAATTGGAAACAGACATAAGCTCTTCAGGTCCATAAGTGAACAGATATATATCTATATTGTAAGACAGAAGGTAATGGGTGTCATGAGAGAGACACAGATAAGTAATTTTGTATGTTCACAGGAGACAGATTATGCCCAGCTCAGGGATGAGGATGGGGAGTGAAAGAAAAGTTAGAGATGATGGAAAAATCAGTGGAATTTGATCTGTACTCGCAAGGATGCATTTGATATTCTGCATAAGTGTATTAATCATCACAATGGACCCTGTGGGATCCATACTTAGAAATTTGTCTCTTCTACTAAATAAATTACATATATGAGCAAATCTTCTTTTCCATTCTATTCATTTGATATTTAGTCACTAAACTCTTAAGCAGGACTCATTTTTTCCCTGCCTCTTAAAATCACCTACCTACTTGTCTCTCCCTACACACACACACACACACACACACACACACCCATTCATACACACACTCATCCTGCTCCCTGGCCCCATTTTTTTCTTTTATTTACACTTAAACGGTGACAGTCATTTTTAGTGGGGCTACTTCTTAATATTGTGTTGTAGCCTCAAGTTAAACTTTTATTCCTTTGAAGTAAGTGAGTTCTTGAAATGTAGAGATATGAAATTAAGGAAAATCAGAATAATTTTTCATTGATCAATTTCTTGATGACTTGCTCCAGACGGGTCACTGGATTTATTATTTAAATATGACTTGAAAGAAAAAAAAAAAACTGTAGGTAATAATCAGAGCTATTTTAACGGCCCCAGTAAAATTTTTCTTTTGTAACAAACCCAGCCAAATAAGCAAGCACTTCTGTGCTTGGTAGATTTATTATGAACCTAAACAGATTGTTTTAAATTCTCATATATCCTATTGTAACTAATACAGTTAGAAAACTAGTAGTAGTTTAGTCATGATTTCCAATAATTTTATGTACATTTGAAGTGTTCATTTTAAAAAGCACAAATCAAATGCTTCTTTAACATTTTTTGATTGCTTAACATTAATACAGCAAATACCCAAGCATGCATGTTGAATTTTTTTTTTTTTTTTTTTTTAAAAAGATGACCGGTAAGGGGATCTCAACCCTTAGCTTGGTGTTGTCAGCACCACAGTCAGCCAGTGAGCAAACCGGCCATCCCTATATAGGATCCGAACCCGCGGCCTTGGTGTTACCAGCACCGCACTCTACCGAGTGAGCCATGGGCCGGCCCTGCATGTTGAATTTTAAAGATGCACAGGAATTTGAAATGAAAGGTGATGCCAGGAAATTAAAACCCCCTGTTGAATTTTAAAGATGCACAGGAATTTGAAATGAAAGGTGATGCCAGGAAATTAAAACCCAGACACCATTGCATTATCCTGATATTCCACATAGAGCTCTAATAAGGCATAGATACTCGTATTGTGTGCTGTTAAACAAAAGCTCACAGTTCATTTAACTTCCTTGTAGTTTCACATTCAGAATTAAGTCTGCCAATAAAAACATATTGAAAATATTAAACATGCCGTATTAGATAAGATTACCACCAGAAAAAAGGCAAAGGAAAACAAAACCTCCAAAGAAAACATTTGATTTGTTTAAACAGTGTTGAGGCGCCCCTTGCTGGCATATGTGTGTATTACCTGACTCTGTCCACATTCCTTGACTTTTTTGGTAAACTCGGTTGACTTATTTTCTTTACAGTGTGTAGAGTATTTCTAGAGCTTACATTTTAATGCATTTCTCTTCTGGTTGCTATGCTTAAAGGGGTAGTTTTTTGTCTTTCTCTAGATAGTGTAAAGGCAAGTTTAATGCATTCTTCAATTTCTTCCATGCTTCTTAATTTGTCAAACTTTTTCTCATTTCTCTTTGTTCTGTCAACTTTTCATCTCTCCCTGCCAGGTCACTCTGTTCTCCCTTTGCTGCTTTGGTCATAGTTTTTAAACAATTGGTCTCACTTCCTGTGGGATTTGGTTTTTGTGAGCCTTGGTGACAGCCCTTCTGTGACGCGTCTTTGGCTCTTTTCGCCTGTGACTTCCCTCAGTGGCAGAGGCCCCAGGCTACAGGCTGATTCCTCTCTGAGGTTCCGGAAGGCAGAAGGCCTTCCATATTTTAGATCATTCTCATTCTCTGTCAATTGTAAGGCAAGGCTTTAAGATCTGTCAACTTTCTGATCTTCCATAGAGCATCAGAAAACCGATTCAAAAATCTGAGATTAGGAAAGAAAATACTAAATATGTGAAAAAAATAATGTGTGTTCAAAGGTACACACTGAGATTCAAATGACATAGTTGGGTGAGTGCAGGATATTTGATTATATAGAAAAGACTCAAGTCTTTTTATTCAAATATTACATTTGGAAACCATATTTAATTTAAGAAAATCTAACATTGGCATTGTTTCTAAAGTGACCCATAGGAAACATCTGTCAGGATAGAATAAAAGTTGCATATTCTTCTTATTCAACAATGTTTAAATTATAGTGATTGAAACCTCCACAGTTGCAGTACGCCAGTGTGGTCTTCTGTGTACTACTGATTTCTAACACTGGAGTTCTCTGTCCAAAATTTCCTGAAGGACGTCCCTTCGCCCTCAACCTGTAGGTCCGCAGGAGAGGGAGAATCAAATATGGCTCTTATCAAGTCTCGGCTCCCTCTTGTGTGCGTGGAAAGCTGACAGTCTAGGATAAAAATCTCTTGGAAGAAAAATCTTGAAGTTTAAATCTGTCCTGGTCTTTGTAGCATAAAAAATAAATAATTAATATCCCTGCTATAATCACTCTTCCATATGTAAAATATTTTTTGCCCTCTTGGTTGGTCTTTGAAAGATGTTATCCTTCAGAGGGTAAGAGCATGCATTTTCTTAACTCCTTTCAGAGGGAGCATCGCTGTTAGTTACTCTTCTTGGAGGTTGTAACCATAAGGACCTGAAGCCAACAATGATCTCTTAAGCTACCTCTAATCTTGCCAACCTTTCTAAAAGGAGTCTGTGCTCATCTCTGGAGAGCTGACTTTTTGGGTACCCTGTCAGTGACTTAATAGAAAGCAGAATTTTTCCACTCCATACTCAAATAGATAAACCTTTGTGTCGTCACTTAGTTCTTAACCCGGGCTTATTAAAAATTTTTTGCAAACAAAAGCATTAACCTGTGCTAATTTTTAACACATAAAGCAATTCTGGAATCTTCAAACATGAAATAAATGATCTGAATTTAATGAAAAGATTGTGAGTGTGAATTAAAACTTAGAATGAAAGCAGTGGAAAAAGGAGAGAAGCAGGTCCCCTGTACAGGTGTGGCTGAGAATGGTCCAGTAGTGACACAAGCCCTTTCCTGGATGTAGTTCATTATCACCAAAAAAAAACAGCCTACCAATCTGCATAAACAGTATAACTTACAGTATAATCTTCAGAATATTCAAATCAAGCTTTCTTTGTTAGTTGGAATTTTCTTTTTTTTGTCATTTGTAAATGAATTATTTAGGTTAAAGAGACTTGCTTAAATATGAATAATCCTATGTGGCAACCTGTACATTAAGGCTTTTCTCCCTTTCTATTGTAGTGTTTCTAAGACCTCAGAGAAATTTGGAATCTATAGACCCACAGTTTACAATTCGGAGGAAAATGGAGCAGATGAGAGAAGAAAAAGAGCTGGTGGAACAACTCCGTGAGGTACCCGAGAGATATTATGTGACTAAATAATTTCTGAATTGAAGCAGCATTCTATATTTTTAAAAAAGAAACTTTGAAGCATTGTAAGCACTCCTAGTTTCAAATCTAGCTAGATCACTTACTGACTGTTTGATATCGGGTAAGTCACTTACCACTCCTGAGTTTCCATTTCA